AGGAAAGAGGAGGGATTATTTTTCAAATATTTAAATATAGGTCACAGAGTCTGCAGCAATGCTCACTAAAATGTTAATTCAATTCAACTTGACAAACATTTACAAACAATAAGTGTTTGTTGAATTGAAATGTTAACATTTATCCTCCTGTGATATTTCTCTGCAAAAATTAGAAAGTATTCTTAGACCGTAAACTAAATTCCACCTTGAGATGAATGTTAACTTTATAATAAATACAATCGTAAAATATTTATATCTAACCTTATTTCAAAACACCTCCCATTGAATTATTTCAAAGCTTAGACAAAATAATGCAGAGATTCTACCCCATTTAAATAGTGCAAGAAAATCCACAAAAAGGGAACAGAGCTTCCTGGACTTCTAATTTAGTGAGCAGCTATAAATAATTTATGGTAGACCGTAGACCGTCTTGTTTTCTCACCACTGGGTTATCTCCCCACTTCTAATAGAAGCACTTTAACCCTATCTCTGACAAAGGTACCTTCGTCATCTAGGCTCAGTACACATTCTATAAAAGGAATTGACACTCTCCCCAGTGCCAAGAGAGCAGGTGAGTCATCATTACTACTGAGAGCATCATATTGCCCTGGAAACCATGACTGATTCAGAGATGGATGTTTACCTCACTCTCAAATAATTAAACTTTCCTCAGATTGTTGTGAGAGAGGAGTACTTTATCTTTTGATCTTGAACCCGGAAGAACAGAGATCTGACACTCTTTGCAGCCACCTTCCCCCATAGGAATAAACTCAACCTGAAGGAAAGCAGAGCTGAAAGATGCAGAGAGACCGAAGACTGCTGATATTGTTTAAGCACCTAGACTAAGCCTTCCAAAAGTCATCACTACACTAGTCTTAACAGCCTTAAATTACCATTGTTTATAATACCTTGAGTTAATGTTTCCATCGCTTACTACCAAGAGTCCTCATGTAACTTTCACAGGTTTTTCAAACTACTTCATACCCATAATCACCAGAATTACTGACTTCTAAACGTCTTCTGAAAATGCCAAAGCCATCTCTTTACCTGTCTTTATATCCAAGCCCTTTGCCACGTAACTTCGCAATTCTTCCTGCTAAAAGCCAGAGGGTACTTCCCACCTCTTCACATTGGGCTTAGCCATATGATTTTCTTTGACCAAGGGAGTATAATGCAATCAGGAGTTTAAAGTGGGCTTTTACATAATTGGTTTTGCCTTCTTGGCCTTCTGTCATGGCCATCTCAAGAATATGTGCTGGCTAGCATGCTGATCAAGGAATATGAAAGACATGTGGAGAGTAGACTCAAATACCCCAGCCCCTATGGTATGCAATAAAGTCATGCTAGCCAACATTGAGACCTCTAGGGGGAAAACAATTGTTGTTTTAAGACATTAGGTTTCAGACAGCTTGTTGCTCAGAATACCCATACCCACTATAGAAAGAAGAAATTGCTCTAAATCTCTAAGAAGGTCCTTCATGATTTTCCAAGTGAAATGTTAACAGGGAGTAAAGAAGGAAAGACTATCCAAACCAGAGTTCAAAGCCTAATGTCTATACTGGCCAAGCAGTTAAGTAAATAATAACTAAGACTTAAATAGCATGTAGGACATCGCAGGCATTGATCTAAGGGTTCTACATGTATCCATTTCTTTAACCTTTACAGTAACTGAGATATGTGCTATTATCATTTTCCTGGGACAAAACTGAGGTGCAGAGAGAGTAAGAAACTTGCCCCAGTCACATAGGACTTAGGTCTTGAATCCAGGTTGTCTGTACCTCTATGCTATTAGGCTAGATTTATTTGTTGTTGTTGTTGTTGTTGTTGTTGTTTTTAACTGTAAGAAGTGATAAGGGACTGTGTTTCTCCAGAGTCGGGCATCATCATGTTCAGCTAATTGTTACCATGTGGGATTGAGAACATTCTAAACTTTGAGAAAAACAAAAAATACAGGTTTTTGAGAAATCTATTTTTTTAAAAAAGCATTTTAAATATTTAAATGTTTGAATGTTTAACACCATGGAAGTTAACCCTAAGCAGTATAAGCCCAACAAAATACATGTAAAACTAAATTTGGCTATGGCCTGTCCACCACTGATCTAAGTTTAGCAGTTCAGTCCTATTCAAGTAGCAATGTCTGGCACCTATCTCTCGAGCTTTTCTAATGTTCTCACAAGTGTGATAACAGCTTTATTTCTTAATGTTACTACAAGGCAAATAAACATGGTGCTTCCATACTGCCTTTCCCTTTAAGACTTAAGCTGCCACCAAAACTCACAGATATGCTTTTCAGGTCCTTACTGTCACATCCAGACTTCTGCATCACCTCACATCCAGAGGTTTAGGCCTGCTGCTCTGTCCACCCAGGTCATTCTTCTCCCTTTCTGTTTTAGTCCGTTTTCACGCTACTGATAGACATACCCGAGATTGGGAAGAAACGGTTTAATTGAACTTACAGTTCCACAAGGCTGGCGAGGCCTCAGAATCATGGTGGGAGGCAAAAGGCACTTCTTACATGGCAGTGGCAAGAGAAAAGAGTGATGCAAAAGCAGAAACCCCTGACAAAGAGCTTGTGAGACGTATGTACTACCACAACAGCAGTGTGGGGAAACTGCCCCCATGATTCAAATTATCTCCCACTGAGTCCCTCCCACAACACCTGGGAATTATGGGAGTAGAATTCAAGATGAGATTTGGGTGGGGACACAGAGCCCAAACCATGTCATTCTGGCCCTGGCCCCTCCAAATCTCATGTGCTCACATTTCAAAAGCAATCATGCCTTCCCACCAGTCCCCTGAAGTCTTAACTCATTCCAGCATTAACCCAAAAGTCCACAGTCCAAAGTTTCATCTGAGACATGGCAAGTCCCTTCTGCCTATGAACCTGTAAAGTCGAGCAAGCTAGTAACTTCCCGGATACAATGGGGATACAGGTATTAGGTAAATACAGCCATTCCAAATGGGAGAAATTGGCCAAAACAAAGGGGTTACAGGGCCCGTGCAAGTCTGAATTCCAGCGGGGCAGTCAAATTCTAAAGTTCCAAAATGATCTCCTTTGACTCTATGTCTCATATCCAGGTCATGTTTATGCAAGAGGTAGGTTCCCATAGTCTTTGGCAGCTCCACCCCTGTGGTTTTGCAGGGTATAGCACCCCTCATGGCTGCTTTCACATGCTGGCATCGAGTGTTTGTGGCTTTTCCAGGCGCACGGTGTAAGCTGTCAGTGGATCTACTATTCTGGGGTCTGGAGGACAGTGGCCTTTGTCTCACAGTTCCACTGGGCAATGCCCCCGTAGGGACTCTGTGTGGAGGCTCGGAGCCCACATTTCCCTTCTGAACTGCCCTAGCAGAGGTTCTCCGTGAGGGCCCCCTCCCCTGCAGCAAACTTTTGCCTGGGCATCCAGGCATTTCCATACCTCTTCTGAAATCTAGAATGGAGGTTCCCAAACCTCAATTCTTGACTTCTGTGTGCCCACAGGCTCAACACCACATGAAAGCTGCTAAGGTTTGGCGCTTGCACCCTCTGAAACCATGGGCTGAGCTGTACTTGGGCCCCTTTTAGCAATGGCTGGAGCAGCTGGGATGCAGGGCACCAAGTCTGTAGGCTGCACACAGCATGGGGACCCTGGGCCCAGCCCACGAAACCATTTATTTCTCCTAGGCTTCTGGGTCTGTGATAGGAGGGGCTGCCATGAAGAACTATGACATGCCTTGGGGACATTTTCCCCATTTCTTGAGGACTATCGTTCAGCTCCTAGTTACTTATGTAAATTTCTGCAGCTAGCTTGAATTTCTCCTCAAAAAATGCGTTTCTTTTCTACTGCATCGTCAGGCTGAAAATTTTTTGAACTTTTATGCTGTTTCCTTTTTAAAACAATGCTTTTAATAGCACCCAAGTCACCTCTTGAATGCTTTGCTGCTTAAAACTTTCTTCCATCCGATACTGTAAATCATCTCTCTCAAGTTCAAAGTTCCACAAATCTCTAGGACAGGGGCAAAATGCCGCCAGTCTCTTTGCTAAAACATAACAAAAGTCAATTTTACTCCAGTTCCCAACAAGTTCCTCATCTCCATCTGAGACCACCTCAGCCTGGACCTTATTGTTCATATCACTATCAGCATTTTTGTCAAAGCCATTCAACAAGTCTCTAGGAAGTTCCAAATTTTCCTGTCTTCTGAGCCCTCCAAACTGTTCCAACCTCTGCCTGTTACCCAGTTCCAAAGTCACTTCCACATTTTTGGGTATCTTTTCAGTAGCACCCCATTCTACTGGTACTAATTTGCTGTATTAGTCAGTTTTCATGCTGCTGATAAATACGTGCCTGAGACTGGGAAGAAAAAAGTTTAACTGGACTTACAGTTCCACATGGCTGGGGAGGCCTCAGAATCATGGTGGAAGCCGAAAGACACTTCTTGCATGGTGGCAACAAGAGAAAATGAAGAATGCAAAAATAGAAACCCCTGATAAAACCATCCCATGTTGTTGAGGCCTATTCATTATCACAGTGCAGTATGGGGAAAACAGCTCCCATAATTCAAATTATTTCCCACCAGGTCCCTCCTACAACCCCTGGGAATTATGGGAATACAATTCAAGATGAGATCTGGGTGGGGACACAGAGCCAAACGATATCACCTTCTCTTCATTAGATCTCAGTTGAAAGTCACTTCCTCCAAAGAGCCTCTGCTAGTGTTCCTCAAGAACATACTAGAGAGCCCTCCTGATTGGGATTGGAGACTCTATACCTCACCTTGCTAGAAAGGAGGGCCATTTGTATCTCTCAGTAGGCTAGGATCTTGGAAAGAGGTGGTAGGACTGCTCTGTTCATAATTCCTGACACGTAGTAGGTATTGAGAAAACATGTATTGGATGAAATAAAGAATGCACAAATGAAAATATGCACTTGCAACACATTTGAAGTATTACTTTCCTTAGGTCTTTATAGACAGTCATGAATATACACACACACACACACACACACACACAGAGAGGCTAGTACCTAGATAAAGCAAGAGCACGATTAACTCTCTCTTCAAGGCCTGATGTACCCAGGGCCTTCCAGGTCATCCAGAACTTGAATGCATCTGGTCTTCTGCTACATTGGATAGACTTGTCTCCTGTGTCATAGCTCACATCATAGAATTTATCCTGCTGGAAGAGGTAAGATGCCTTGGCACAGTAGCATTTTTTAAGAAGATCCTTTGAAAAAGAAAGATTACAAGACTGTTCAATTTTAGAATACTACTTGATTTTGAAAGCAAACATACACATGTACACATACAATGTGTATATTCTACCTATGCCAAATGTACATCTCACTTTGTGACTGCCTTGCATTGGACACAATCAGTGTACATTGACTTTGAGATACACGTTACCCACAGTGTTACCAAACAAAGCCTCAGAGTTGACAATGCTAAAATCCATCTTCACAATTTTACTGAGTATTGAGAAGCTGAAAAGACCATGTCATTATCGCTAGGACATCAAGGCGGGCCAGTTTTTCAGTATGAATAAAACTGTCTATAACTCACTTACAGCTCTCCATTGGCAAACAAAAAAAAAAAACTGACATATTTACACATGTTATACAATTTCATAAGCAAAATAGGTTTAAAGACCTTCTTTTTCATATTCATTTGAAAAGGCTAGACCCGACATAACTCAGGGAAAAAGCCCAGGGATAAAAACCCAGTGAAAGAGCTATGGAAGAGGTAAACAAGAGCCAACAAGTTCTCACTACCACAAAATGTCAGCTATAATTCCACAGGGCCTTTCATGTTTGTCTCATGCTGGTTTTATTTGCAACCAAATTCCATCTGCATTTACTAACTTGTTATCATTAGGAAGTGGGTAACAATTTACTGTTCACCACGATTATAGGGCCTTTGCCTCGACCTCAAACCATTAAAGTTGAAGCCATGTTGTCTTCAATGTCATCTAGTGTCTACAAAAGCCAGGATTTCCTAATCAATCATTTACAGCCCTGACAACTCCCCTAAAATATTTTAGATCCTTGTGCCTCCTCAGTGGAGCCAATGTACTCAATGTCCCTGAACCACTTCATCATGTCTCTTCTATGTCTTATACCATTTGCTTGCATCTAACTCTCTATTTTATTATGATACTTGACACTTTCAACAGACTATATGCAGTCTATTTATAAGCTGTGAAGTTTACTGACACTAAACATAGCCTTGCCTTCTTTCTCAGGCCTGCCCTTCCATCAGGTCCCATCTCAACTTTTTCCTCCCCTTCAACGAGATGGGCAACGAGATCTGCCCATCTCGTTGGACTCAAAGGAATAACTGGTATTTGGTTGCATTCGTTGGCCTTCGTCCTGTGCTTTCCCCATGCAATGAGCAGTCACTACCTATATTCTCTCCTTGTGTGGTCAAGCAGGTTCTTGGGAGCAGGAATCATTTCTTATCCATCGTTATATCCATGTAGCTTAACACTGCTGGGCACAGAGCACTCTCATTAAGCTATGAAGACAATGATTCCTCTCCCAATACCCCTGACATGTGGTATAAATAGAATAAACACGGATAGATGAGCTTCTCATTTGGTGCATTTTCCAAACTTTAACAATTCAAAACTACTAGTGCTGTACAGGAAGCTACAAAAAAGCTGCTCAGTAGACATGGGGGTCCTAGAAAATGTTTCCTTCTGATCAGAGAATGTATTAAATGTGCTTCATTTGACTAATCAGCTTGTGCTAATTAGTCGAATGAAAAGGAAATCTCAACGTATCACATTTCAAATGAAAGCAGAAGTTTGCTGACTTAAGCAACATTGTCTTGTGTACATACTAGTCTGGATCTAAATATGTTCTGTTATCAAAAAGTATGATTTTATACTACATAAAAATTATATACCAAACATAACCAAGAATTACAATATGCCCCTCATCCAGTATCCACTATAAACTGAATATAAAACAATAAGGCTGGGCACTGTGACTCACACCAGTAATCACAATGCTTTGGAGGGCCGAGGTAAGAAAATCACTTGAGGCCAGCAATTTGCTACAAGCCTGGGCAATACAGTGAGACCTCATCTCTATAAACATAAAAATTAGTTGGGCATGGTGGCACGTGCCTGTGGTTGTGGCATGTGCCTGAAGTGGGAGGATCACTTGAGCCCATGAGGTCGAGGCTGCAGTGAGCTGTGAGCACACCTCGGCTTACCAGCCTGTGCAACAGTGAGACTCTGTCTCTAGAATAATAATATAATAATAATAAACATTAGTATGCCTTCAGCCTGGTTCCGATGGGTATTCTTGAGAGATACAGGGAAAGAGCAGATTGCTCTGACCTGAACACTAAAGTAGAAAAATCCCTTAAAGTCTTAGATTTTATCATCAATAACACTACTCTGATCACAGTTGCCACTGCTGCATCTCCCTGCCCTCAAAAGTCGGGAAATTTGGTTGTTTCCATAGCAACTACAGTCTGACCATATATTATAACACTAAAAGGCCACTGCATGTATTTTAAGGACAAATCACGCACACATATTCACAACACAGGCACACACACACACACTTGCATTACGATTATAAATTTACTGTCACCAACCATGAAAGATTAAAAATTCCCAAAGCAAATGAACTTTGGACATTTATTGAGCAAGTTGAAAGGGAGAGGAGGCTCATCCATTATCAGAAGAAAAATGTGTGTAATCATAAGCAAGTGGAGAACAAGAGAGCCAAGAAAGCAAATAGCAGAAGAAACAATTGTCCTGCAGTAGTGACAGTTAATTTCATGGAACTAAAAATTCTGCCTTGGGAAGGTTTCCTAAAGAACTGGAGGCTTGGGATTTACTTTATCAAAAATAAACTTTCCTCCCAAATATTTCACTTTGCGTTTTAGTCTATGTCCTTGTATTAAAGTGGATGAGATGTCCTTTAGTTTTAAGACATCAACTAAGAGAGGATGCTCAGATCTCCAGTGAAAACATTTTAGAATAAGTATAGTAAAATTTAACATTGTTGAAAATAGTTATTGTGCTATCAAAGAGAAGCACCATAATTATCTTGCTCATCTTCATATACTCTTAATCCTAGCAGGACAATAAATACTAGTAACATGGCTTTCAGAGACAAGTATCCAATGAAAATTCAAATTGCTTTATATTGTGACATTAATTCAAACTCTTAGGGGTTAGTAGACATTGTATTGGGACTTGTAGAGTGGCAAGCGAAAGAAGCTTAAGCAAAAGGGAGTCTTTTTATAGGCTTGTATATTTAAAAATCTAGTCGTATATATAATCTTCAGGCACAGTTGAATCCGGTACTAAATAATACCCATTATCAGGAATATGTCCTTTCGTCTTGTTCTATTATAGCCTGTATTGGCCTCATTCCCTACACGGAAAGCTGGTAGGAAGGCTGAAAACTGAAGCTTCCAAGTGGGATCTAAGAGCATGGAGAAAGGCTGTTTGGAGACAGGAAGTGAGACAACTTTTGCTGGTGGTGCTACTAACAAACATTCTCTTTTTGACTAACATTTAGTTAGTCTAAGTCCTCTAGGTCTCCACCTTGATATTTATCTTTCTATAAATGCATCGCCCTCTTGTAGCAAGAATCTTGCTAGTCAGTTTGGAAAGAATCCCCCATCCCAATATCTCCCTTTGTCTGACCAAGTTCTTCATCCTTCTAGCCTGCCTTCAGCAAGCATCTTGTCAGATGTCTAATCTGTATCCTTTTATTCCTAATGTTTTCTCAGTCATTTTCCACCCACTGACTCCCAACCTGCCCCTTGGCTATGAATCCCTACTTGTCCATGCTGTATTCAGAAGTGAGTCAGGTTATACTGAGGTCTCTCTTCCTCATTGCAGTAGTTCCTGAACAAAGTCTGTTTTTACTACTTTACTGTCTGCTTCTAGTTTTCTTTAACATTACCCATGTAGAGAGAGACACTTGACCTCCCAACCTCACTATCTTATATGAACCTCTTTGTGACCAAACCTAGCAGGAAGCCAATTGGCAAAAGAGCCTGGAAAATATGGCTTTTAGGAGTCTGGCCCTTTTGCAGAGCAAAGCAGAGGAAAGTAAAGAATGGATTGGATTTTACGGTAAAGAGAAGCCAACGACAAGCACAGAAACCACAACTTTTACTTTCCCTCTTTGCCTTCACAACACCTAACCTAGCACATAATAATGACCAGAGCTAACATTTATTGAACTCTTACTATTTTCCAGACACTTCATATGTAATAACTCATTTAAGTCTCATAACAACCCAGTGAGATAAATTCTATTTTTGTCAAGTCCATTGTACAATTTGCAACACAGCAAGTTAATTACCTAAGTTCATGTAGCTACTAGGTGATAGGGCCAGGTTTCAAACCAAAACTTAGATTCAGGGCCTGAACTCTAACCTATTATACTTTATTGCATCGACAGTGGGCACTTAAATATATGTGAAAGAGGGTGCTCCATTTGGAGAGGCTGGTAAAAAGGAAAATGGCAGAAGAGAGAACACTGAGCTGAGCTAGAGGTCAAAATAACTAAGATCCTGTTTCAAACTCTTACTTTTTTCTATAAACATGACTTCTGGTCTTACCACCAGTAATATCGTGTTTATAAAGCATTTTGAGATCTTTATGAATACTTGTGAATCTGGAAATATTATCCAAAATATTCACTCATTATGTGAATGAATGAATCTGTAGGTTGCATATTCTCCTGACCAAGATTAGCCAAGCCATCTTTGATTTCCATAGGCTAGATCAGATTCTGCGGTCTCTTTTTGGTCAGTGACCATGTGGGTCTACTAAGTCGGGATTCTGTGCACCAGCAGTCCCAGCCTTTTTTCGGCACCAGGGGACCAGTGCTCATGGGAGACAATTTTTCCACAGATGTGGGGGGGTGGTGTTGGGGAGATGGTTTCAGGAGGAAACTGTTCTACCTTAAATCGGGCATTAGAGTCTCATAAGGAGCACACGACCTAGATCCCTCTTATGCACAGTTCACAATAGAGTTTGCATTCCTATGAGAATCTAATGCCAAGGCTGATCTTACGGGAGGGCAGAGCTCAGGTGGTAATGCTTGCTCACCTACCACTCACCTCCTGCTGTGTGGCCCGATTCCTAACAGGCCATCAACTGGTACAGGTCTGTGGCCTGGGTGGGGGGATCCTTGCTGTACATAACAAAAACCTTTGTATTTCCTCCTTGCAATCATGTTTTTCAGC